AACAATATTATTTTTTAAAATAAAAGATGCGTCATTGTAAGAGATGTTTTCGGTTGCCATAACTTTTTTAATTTCTTTTTGATGCGCCCATTCTGGACATGAGCGATCCGTTGCTTCGTGTGGACCTTTACAATGAAAGCAAACAGGGGATGATTTGTCTTGTTTGGGACAGTTGTTGAAAGAATGGTCATTGAGACCACAAAACGCACACCGCGCCTTACTTCTGCAAAATTTTTTAGTGTGGCCATATCGAAGACAATTTTGGCAAATAACAGGGGAGCGGATACTAGGTGTAACTAAAAATAATACTTTATAAATTGAAATTTTTTCCGGTAATTTAGATGAAAGAAACTTGAGTTCAACTAAGTTTGTCTGAGTAGGAGAGCTAGTGTCATGTCGTGATGAAATTCTGCGAAAGCCACATATGGAAACTGAAGATTCAACACCTTCCCAAAATTCCTCTTCCGTAAAAGAGGTATCCAAACGGATAATACCGTGTGAATAAATTAAAGTCGAAGGAATTAAGTCTTTTAAATTCATTTCATTTAGTAAATGAGAATTAAGGCATAAGTTAGCTGATTTTATAGAATCAAAAATAATTTTGACTCTAGAGCCGATTGGAATTATTTGTTTTATACCACAAAATTTTTTATGAAAAAGCTTTCCAATTTTTAAAGGGTGTAATTTTCCAATGTTTTGGTTATTAGTAATTGACTCAATGAGTATTACTGGAGACCCATTATAGTTACTCGAAAAGTTTTTGAGATTAGGGTCTATGTTTAAGCTGCGAGCAATTATATTTGAAGTAGACAAATTTGACGTTGAAATGGCATTATTAATAACAATGTTATTATTTTGTGTTACATTATTTTGATTAGCAAGGTCGTTGGTATTATTCACGCTATTATCGAAATTCATAATATTTGAAGCGTTATTAGACATAGAAATAGTGTCTTTAAGATAAACAGTACTAGCAACGCTATTGTCGGCGGACTCTTGGCTACCACATTGAATATGTGTGTTAGATGGTAATAATTATGGTTGGTTATCTAACAAGTACTGCAGATTAGGAGAAATCGGGCTAGTAGATTGATTTTTAGACTTACGTTTTGATCCAACAGTTGACCATTCGTCAGAATTTATACGGTTTTTGTGTAGAGTAACTTTTATGGGGCCCGCACCATTATTAGGTGGACGGGCCGATCCACCCGTCGAATTTGGCATGCATGTAAGTAATGGGTTTAAACTCACTTAAGTGATTGTGTTAAAAATAAGTGTATTGAACTAACACGAAACTAAGAATAACAATAAAAATACGGTAACTACGAGGAATGATAAAGTTATAATATTATAATATTTTTCTACAATAAAAGAACTTAAAATTAAGTAAATAAATTAAGTATAAATAAAATTGATGAGGTATTGTCTTAAACTTTGATGATGAAACCAATATCATTAAACGTTTTCTTATCAACTTTTACAAGTAATTACCATATCGCTGTCATAAAAAATTTAAAATAACAATAGTGTATAGAAATAGTTCTATTTATGGAAAAATCTTTCTGTAAGGATTCTTACATATAAAATATTTAATTTTCATTTCATTTAAATTATGTATTGCTTTGACGATTTTTAAGACATTATTTGAATTATATGGTCTTTATATTTAAAAAAGTTATATTGAATTTAAGGCCGTAGCACATGACCAGGGCGGTGTTATAATTTGTATGTGTTATAAAACTGCACAATTTTTAAATAATTAACTAGACTGTCAAATGGGATTAACGAGAAATTTGTTTCTACCAAACGAGAGTTATATAACATTGTGGAACAAAACTTATTAATAATAATTTTTTTTTAATCTATTTCATATACTAATTGTTATATTTGTACAATTAAATTATCCTTTATAACGGTTAAATTTATTATTCAATTAAAATAATAAATAATTTTAGAGTTAACATTAAAATCCCAGCAAAGTGGGGTGGCGACACAGTGGTGACGTGGCATAGTTAGATCAAGGATAATGATATCTGACAGTGATTAAAATCACTACCATAAAAATAGCTTCAATGCAAATCTGTAGATAGTGTTTAATTAAAAAAAAAAAATTTGTCAAAAAAGTAGGTCAAATGAGAGCTGAGAAAATAAATGAAAGCTACAAAAGGCTACCATTATTAGTTACATTAAAATTTTAAACTTTTAGTATGTAGTTTGTGTTATTATAATCATATTTTTCAATTTACTGTTAAATGTTTTGTATTATATTTAAATATTAATAATGTTACGAAAATGTATAACTTTTTGTTGTTTGATTTTTCTCTATTTATAATTAATGTAAGCTTTTATGATAATATTTACAAATATTATAGTGAAAATGTCACTATAAAAAGTACATATTATATAATATAGTTTTACAACTTTAAATCTATCAAATAAGTAACTACAGTTACTTACAATATAATTTTGCTAGTACAAAAGACTCGATTGAAATATTCATTGACAGATTAAAGCAATAGCCTTATTAAAAACAATAACCATTTTCAAGTCACATATTTTATTGTCTTTATTAATTTTAATACCTATTGTCACAATAATATACACTGCTGAACATTTTAACTTATTCTACAAGTTAAGTGAACCTCCCAAAATAAGATTTAGGAAATACTTTAATGGAAATTGAGTTTAGAAAACTTTTAACTTGAGAGTATTAATATTCTATTTATGCACGTGTTAACTAGTTTTTAAAAAAACTGGTCACTTTTTCTACTAATTTTTAAATAATATCCGTAAAGTAATATTAATATTTTCATATTAGTGATGAATGGGCAAATTATATCCACCTATGGAATATTAGTAATAAAATTTATTCTAATAGTTATTAAATGTTAGTTTGTATCTTAATTTATTATTTGTCAAATATTTAAGAATTGAGTGAATTCTAATTTTTAGTAAAAATTAATTTTGGGCGGTATTAGACATATGAGTTGGTGATCTATATGGTTGAGATATGACACACATAATCTTAGAATTTTATTATAGCTATAAAAGTTGCTATAATTTCTCTATATAAATATAAAAGTATTATACACTAATTTTAGTAACACTTATATTATTTTTTTGTCTTACTAAATATATCCTTATTTCATAAAAAGAATTAATTTAAGAAAAATATTAATTCTGTATTCATTTTAAAATCAAAATAATTATATAATACATAAATTAATATAATATCATATTAGGGTCAATCCATGCCAAATCATTCAGAAGTGGTTGCATGACCACCTCATATTTTTCTTAAATTTTCATCGTTTATTCTTTATATTTAGTTAAAACAATTATTTTTTTTAGCCATTTTTATGGCTAAAAAAAGCCAGAATGTCATAAAACACACAGATTATTCAATATTGAGTTAATCAAATTAAAATTTTAGACTTGGTGTTATTATAATTTAAAGTTTAAATAAAAAAAAATAATATGTGAAATTCTAAGTTGTAAAATATTTTAATAAATAATCATAGTTTTATTCTAGTAGTAGTAGAATATTGTGTCTTCATAAATATCAGTTAATGATATCTTAAGGCTTCTTATGATATTGTCATTAATCGGTAAAAATCTGTGTTTTCCCCTATCCCCGAAAATTGTTCTACACAATTTAAATCTCATATTAGGTGTTTTTCGTTTTGTTGTACTTCTGAGGTAGGTATATTTATTTAAACATTTAATTAAACGACATTTATTTTATTGACTTACAACCGATTTTCAAAATTTACAATATTTTCTTCTTACATGTAAGTGTTAAATAATTGTAAAGCAAACTAAAATAATATTTAGTCGTTCACATAACTGTGAAAGAACATAATTTGTTCAAAATTCAACAACATAACATTGAATATCATAATATTAATGATATTATATACTTGAATAAACGTCTTCTTCTTCTTCTTCCTCCTCGCCTTAATCCCAACTACTTGGAGTCGACCACCTTTATCCTATACTTCCACTTGACTCGATCTCCCACATCATCTACGCTCACATCACCTGTCCTCATATTGCATTCAATAGCATCCCTCCATATCTTTTTTGGTCTTCCTCTACATTATCTTTGTATCCTTATTGATCCTTATCTTATCTTATACTTTTTTGCTCTTATTATTACTGACTTCATATTATTTATTGTAAATAATTTTCATTAAATGTTGAACCATATTAATATTATTTAGTGAAAGCTTTAGAAAAAAATATATTGATAATTTTGATATATCTACTAGTTTACTTCAGTTACAAATTCTGCTTATTAGCCTATTTGTCTAAATATCTCTCAATTCTTCTGAATTGCCAGACATTTAAAAAATTATTAAATCTTATATAGTTTTGATGTTAAATTTAAAAAATTAAGAAAAATTTGGATTAAATCTTCTTCTTCTTCCTCGCTTTAATCCAAACTACTTGGGGTTGGCCACCCTTTTCTTAAACTTCCATTTGACACGATCTCCCACATCATCAACGCTCAGATCAGCTGTCCTCAAATCGCATTAAATAGCATCCCTCCATATCTTTTTTGGTCTTCCTCTACCTCTTCTTCCTTCAACATTCATTTCTATAACTGTTCTTACAGCTTCCGATTTTTCTCTACTCATAACATAACCAAACCATCTAAGTCTATTTTCTCTCATCTTATCCACGATTGACGCTACACCTATACTTCCTCTTATATGCTCGTTTCTTATTCTATCTTTTCTAGTCACTCCACTCATTCATCTAAGCATTCTCATTTCTGCTACACTCATTCTGTGCTCTACTAATTCTGTATCTTACATCCTTTTAGAATATTGTAAATTCACCCCTAGTATATTTAGTATATTTCTAAAGGCTGCTACAATAGGCGAAATATTTAAATATAATTGATATACCTTTAATCTACAAAAGACTACAAGACCAAATTAATTAATTTTTCGTTATTCTAATAATAATTATTTTAATATAATTTTGTTTTCTAGGTGGTTCTACAAACATTAGGGCTCATGAAGTGACCTGACATATGCAAAACGAGATGACTTCAATTGACAACCGGATCGTGTGTAGGATCAAAATGTGGTCACTAATAGCAGGGATACTGTGGTTAATTATCATGCCAATGTGTACCAGTCTTATACTAGATGGCACATATAGTCAGTTTCGAAAATGGAACGTAGGCACAAATGGTACATTTGAAATGGAGTTCAAGACAAGGTCTCCTAATGGATTGCTCATGTACACAGATGATGGTGGAACTTATGATTTTTTTGAGTTGAAGATAGTCGGAGGTACAATGCGACTTCGATATAATTTAGGTGGAGGTGCTCAGATCCTAGTTGCTGGTCATGATCTGTACGACGGTCGGTGGCACCATGTGGCTGTTAATCGCCGTGGTATCGTCACAACTTTAACAGTAGACAATGTCACTAGTTCAGCTACTTCTGCTGGTAAAGAACTACAATTTGGTCGACTAACTTCAAATTCTGCCGTATACGTGGGAGGAATGCCCGAATGGTACAATGGTCGACTTACTCATCTAGCTTTACCTAGTGTAATATTCGAGCCACGATTTAGCGGGACGGTTCGCAATATTGTTTACGCCGATGATTACCATTCCTATCCAAGGCGACAGACATCTTTAACAGATCCTATTGGTCAACTTAAGGTAAACATTTTGATTTTTATTTTAAGTCATAAAAATAATAACCGATGTGAAAGATGAATCGCTAAAAAATGAATATAATAAGTCAATTTGACTATGTATATTTAAATAAATTATATTCAAGACTTGATAAGATTTCTACTTTGACCATATTTATTGTAAGTAGCCTTTCCGTTTAGCACTTATCACACTTATACGTCGAAACCGGGTGAAATATTGACCAAGTTTTTTTCCATTATAAATTTTTTAAAGGTTCTCGCCACGTACTAGTAATTTTATTTTTGTGTTTTTAATATAAAAACTTTTAGAGGCACTTATACTAATACAACTGTGTATAAGGAAAATATAGTAATAATCATAAAAATTAAAAGTCGACTAACGTTCAGTTCGGGTAAAGTATCACCTCGTGTTAAAACGACATGAAATGACCCGATCACATAGCCTCTCCTTGGGAGGTGCTAAAAAGAATCCATTTGAACGTGAGCCAATCTGAACATGGACAGTGCTCCCAGAAAATGAAAAATTGTTTGACATTTTTCAAAAATAATGAGTGTTAACGATTGTCAAAACGTTATGTTTGACAATTGTTACTACACATATATGTTTTATTAAGCATGTTCAAACTTTGGAAATATCTCATACCTGACTGTGTAAGTAGTTTTATAAATTATCTCTATTTAAATTAAAAAATGGCATACATTAACTATTAATTGAATAACGCCAAACCAATTTACAAACTAATTAATTGTGAGATTCAAAATTTCTTGTTTACACAACAGAAGGCAAAATTAAGAAATAAATATAGAGAACTTTAAATTTATTCTAAACGATACTTGGAACATCAAATTAAAATACATTTTTGCTTCATTACAAAGCTATCCAGATAGTTTGTTTCTTAATGAAAAATTGCTTTTGTCTTAGAAGTTACCATTAAAAAAAAGAGTATTTTTTATTAATTTACCTTAACCGGCTCAACATTAATTATATAGATTTATAATTAATAATAAAAACTAGTTATTAATATATTTGAAAGGTTAATGTATTTTTCAGTCTCTGTCTTAAAATAAAATTAGATAAAGATGTTTTCAATGTTAAAAAAAGTAGCACAGTGGGGTCACGGCACAGTATGGACGTGGCATAGTTGGGACAAGTATAGATGATATTTGACAGTGATTAAAACCACTATCATAAGAAACGCTTCGATGCAAATCTGTAGATAGTGTTTAATTTTAAGAAATTGATAGATTATTTCAAAAACAACAATAACTCTCATTCCCTTAATTTTATTTCGATTAGTTATTTGATTTATAATTATTATATATGAATAAGTAACAATTTTAGTAATTCAATTTAGTATGAAATTGATATTCAATAATTTAATATTGTAATTTTTACGGAGATATTATAAAAAAAATAAAGTAGTTGTATATTTCTTTACTTTTAACGCGTATAAAAATTTAATAAAATTTTTAATTTAAAAATTAAAAAATAAGTCTTTACGTATAAAAAAAAATAATTAAGAAAAAAAAATTGTTTTAAATTAATACTAATTTTGATTATTAATATGTTAAAAGTAAGGAAAATGATATATTTAACCTATTTTTTTAATCATTTAAAGTTGATTTTTGTGAATGTTTATAATAAAAAAAAAATTATTTATTTTACCATAACTTATAGCTCAATTGGAAAGTTTGAAATTGACATCATTAAATAAAAAAATTTATAAGAATTAAAAAAATTGTAGCGTTAAAATTAATATGCAATAGGAAGTTTTATAGTTTTTACTTATAGTAAATTTATCAGAGTAGATCAATATTTTTTTGCATTTCTATCGTAATAGATAACTTAAATAGAAGTAATAGTAATCATTTCTTAGTAACTTGTGGTGTTTAAAAAGAATCTACAATTGAAATATGCAGAAACGAATTAATTTTAATGATTGACTTTTACTAAAAAAACCAATGAAAAAAAAAGTTATAAAAAAGATTAACTCAATTGAGCGTATTATATAATTTGATTATAATTGTAAAAATCCATTGTTAATTCAGGAGAAACTAACAATAATTTTTTTAGAAATGATTTATGTAGTAATATGTTACTAAAAAATTTGGAATATTATAGTCTAGTAGTAGCACACTTAAATAGAGTAAAAAAATTATTAAATTACAAAGTAAAATGATTTAATTTTGTAGTTTAAACCTATCATATCAAACTTGATTCGTCAATAAATATTTTGAAAACATTAGAAATGAATGATTTTAATTGTCTGTAAGGAGAACATGGGATAAGTAACTGTTTAATTGATAAATTAGAATTTTATTTCAATTCTTGAAGGTAATATCTTCAACTAGATACGCATTGTAGTCATTTGACGTATCGTTGAAAAAAGTAGGTCACGTTAGAGCAGAGAAAATAAATGATAGTCACAAAAAAATATCTTCTCAATTTGCATCGAAGCTAAAACTTAAAATATAGTAAAATAATTTTAATATGAATAAGAAAATTCTTCTCGCGAGTGGCGACTACAGTGATGGGATCCTTGATCTTTATTGATGTTATTGAATATAAATGAAATAAAAATCAAACGAGTTTAAAATTTATTAAGAAAAAAATGCTAAATATTTCCTTGGCATACGCGGGGATTGGAATCCTTGTATGAAAATCTGTGTACTCCCCTTGTCAGGTATTTTAAAGTAAAATAAAATACAAAACCCAGAATTTTAACACAAAAATAGCATATTTTTGAAAACGGTAGTCATTATTACCATAAAAACAAACCCAAAGATCAAATTTTTATTTTCAAATTAAAGTTTATTACATAAGCTTTTATTTAAGGTATATATAAAAGTGTCAGTCTTTCCGTAACATTTTCCAAAATTGTGTTGAAATAGACACCATTTTAAAAACCTTCCTGTGGGCTGGTAAAGGGCCAAATATTCACAAAAAAATATCAAAAGATGGGTAAATAACTAAGGTATCTATAAAAAAAATTATATTGATTTGATCATTTTTAAAAAAGTTATGGCAATTTTAAGTAAAAAAATTGAAAAAATGTCGAAAATTAGCGATTTTTAATTTTGTAATTTTTAGGGGGGTTTCCCCGTTTATGGGGAACGAGGGAATTTTTTTCAAATTTTGAGGGTAATGTCTTCGAATAGATACGATTTGTGATCTTTTGACATATTGTTCATCAAAATTGGTCCAGCGAGAGCTGATATTGAGCGTTCACAGACACAAAAAAAAATAATAAAAAAACACATCATAGCAAAATTAATATCTTCTCAGCTTCGCATCGAAGCTAATAAATTATATTAGCTTCACTATGAAGCCGAGACAGTATTGGTTTTGTGATGGTATTTTTACAAGACTAATAGTAGGTGTAGTTTCATGAATTCGCCACTGATTGATTTAACAATCTTTTCTACTCATAATAGAAAATATTTAAATACGACTAAAAAAGTTTTAGTAGCATTTTTTTCAAGGATTTAGAATTTATTTTCAGATAATTTTTTTCTATTTGAAATATAAATCAATATTAATATTGACTCACATATGAAATAAAAATAAAAAAACAAAAATTAAATTTGAAAATAGAAATTTTTAATTATACATATGTATATAAATATATTTTAACAAATGTAAATCATAAATTTAAGTCAAAATTATAATTAAATAAATTCCAAAATACTATTTATATATGAGATAAAAAAATTATCTAAATTACACATTGCTGAAAATTGAATTTCACATAAATTATCATTATATAACTTTATATATAACAGTTAACTATAACAATATATCAATTAACTATCATAATTTTTACGTAATACTTAATTGATTATAATTGAAATTCTAAAAATGTATATAGAATTTCTTTTATCTAATATGACACTTTGTTTTGCTGCAAAGATAGATGAAAATAATATAAATAACTTGAAAGACATACTGGCGGTTTTTCCTGTATATCTAAGGATTATATGTCCCTTTACATAAAGGAAAAATTAAATGAATTTGTAAAAAATCACAAGTTTTTCGATATATTAGAGGTTATTCTGGCAGCAATCAGATAGTTAACCGCGAAAACTACGATGTTAAGGTTTGACAAGTGTACTAGTTGTCAAGTTGCAGGTATGCAAGTTATATCTCTACTTTCACTGATTACTTAAAAGGCTATGGATACCAGTGCTTAAAAATGGGATCTCTTGTGACTATTAATCCAGTAGATTGCTTAAATAATTATATTAACTTACTAAAACTAGGAGAATATAAGCTTCTAATAATGTCTAATTATCTGGAATATTTAAAGCAATTCTTATCATCGTTATCTTTTGAAATAGATATGTATCCAGGTAGTTAATTCTCTGAAAGATAACACTGACAATAAAAAATTCAATAAAGAATTCATTGATACACAGATTTTGTGGAAGTTGTTAAATAAATTAGAGAAAATATAAATTTAAATTATGAAGAAACACGAAGATTCTTTGTCAGTTAATATAATTCTATTCCTAATGACTATTATGAACCGAGTACTGTTGTTCTACTGCCTACAATAATTGAAAAAACACTTTGGCGCTATTCCATTAATGACAAACAACTCCCTGAAAATGCGATTTCAATGATAACGACAGAAATATCTGACGAAATTAAAAATTTCATGATATATATGATAAACTTGAATTTTCTCAATATATTGATAAATAAAATTCATTTTTAAGGATTTGTATTTCATAAAAAAAAAAATAAAACTCAATGTTTTTTTATATTAAGGTATATATTTATTGTATTTTATATTTATACCGGTAATTAAATCACTGTTATATATTTGTGAAATTTTAAGATGGTATTTTAAAACAAAATATTTAAACTATATTTGATTAATTTTTTTTTTATTCGTGTAATGTCTAAAAATTAATTGCAACCTCAGTATTTTATTAAATTAAAATTTTTGTTGATAAAAAATTTACAAATAAATGTATATGTTCTTAATGTGGTTCTTTCATATGACCATAGATACATCATGATTTTAATATAATTTTTTGTTATATTGGAAAAAACTAAGAGAGTAATGTTTTGTACATTTTTACATAACCTCTCGCCTCTTCTTTTATATCACATCGAATAGTGATAATACTTCAGTGCAGACATCACAAACGAAACTGAAAGTTCCCACATGATAGTGCATGTATACTTTACGTGTTAATGTTTATAATCAGTTACATTTATAACCATACATCAGTAGCGCAACTAGGATTATTTTGAGGGGGGTGTCTGCCTCATTAAAATACCTTACCCCGTAACATATTTCAAAATACGTCTCTGGTATCGAGTTTTTGATAAACTAAAAATGCATAATATCACAGATATAAATCTTAAAAAATATATATATATTTTCAAATGTTTGTTTCAGAGCTTAAAAATATTATGTTTTGTTACATATTTATAAATAATTATAAATATAACTACTTTAATAAAAATTACAATCAATTTTTAAAAACATTTTATATTACAAAATCTAATCGTCTTTTTTTCTCACTTAACTGTTTAATAATTTCATCTGTAGTAACTGTAATTTCGCGGTGAATATTCAAAGCTGCTAATCCATTAAGTCTAAATGCTGATATAGAGTTTCTGAGATAAGTTTTAACTCTTTTTAGAGTTGAAAATGACCTTTCAGCTTCACATGAAGTTACAGGTAACGTTAAAAGAATTTTCAACAATTTATACACGTTGGGATATAGATCAATATTGCAATTACTAATTACTTCAATAGCAGTAACCATTTTTAAATTGGTTTCGACACGTAATTTAAAAACTTGATGATGCCAAATTTTTACTTCAGCTAAAACATTTGATGAATTTTCTACATCGTTAGCATAAAATTCCGCCAAATTTTTTATTAATTTTTCTTGTTGTTCAGTAAGAGGTGCAATCGGGAAAAGCAATTGAAAACCTTGAATAATTTCATTATGATTAATAAATCTGTCATTTAACTGACTAATAAATGTATCTAAAAAAGGTATAAATAAAAAAACTTTAAAATAATCTTGAACTGTATTATTGGGAGTATTCTGACTATAAGTGTGTCTTTTTGTAATTCTTGGAATTTTTATCTCAAAATCTAAATCATTTGATTTACTTTGAAGTTCTTCAAAACATTCTAAGAACTCTTCATCGACATTATTCCTAATTGAATTTATTTGAAGTATCACATTGTTGACATATTCTAGAGCTTGAATAAGATCTATGTCAGGTTTTTGTAAGTATTTGCATAAAGATACAGTATACCGAAATATTTTTTTTAAAACAATAAGACTTACATTAAATTCACAATTTTTTAAAGCTAATAATAATATATGAGCTTTAGTAGATGTTTCGTTGTCTGCCCAACTAGTCATTTCTTCTAAACACGAATGGACAGCAGGAAGAAGTTGATCAAACACTTCTACTGAGTCATGCCTTTCAACCCATCTTGTCATACATAATCGTTTTAGTTTTTCTTTATGAGTATTTTCTTGATTCAGTTCTTTGACATGTTTTGAAAATGCAGCTTGTCTTTTTGGAGTATTTAAAAATACGAAAACTTTTTCGATTGTACCCATAGTATTTCGAATGGATTGTACACCGCAAGCATAAGTTATAGCTAAATTTAAACTGTGCGCACTGCAATGAACATATATAGCAGTTTTATATTCTTTTTTTATGCATGATTGTACACCATTGAATCTCCCACTCATCGATGCAGCTCCATCATAACCCTGTCCTCTGATGTACTGCATTTCAATTTTCATGTCAGTAAGTTCTTTAATAATTATACTTGCAAGTGCGCTTCCACTTAAGTCCATAACAGGTACAAATTTTAAAAATTGTTCTTTTATTATTTTACTTTTAGAATCAAAATAACGAACACATAACGAAAATTGTTCAATGCCAGCCACGTCTGCCGTTTCGTCAGCTATTACCGAAAAACATTTACTATTATTGATTTCATCAATGATTTTAAATAAAATAATATCATGACAAGAACTGATAATTTCGTTTTGAATCTTCCAACTTGTATACTGCGCGTTTTTTGCACAATTTGTTCTTGCCAATTCGTAAGATTCATCACCAGACAACTTTGTCGCATTCATATGAAATCGCATTAAAGCTCTAAAGTTACCGTCATTTTCTATTGGGTTTTCCGTCGTTAGCATTCCAAAATCCCGATGTCCGCGTAAGGCAATTCCCTGTCTTCCGCAAAAAACCACAGATTCGATTACTGGAATAATTATTTTTCTATTCAATTCTTTCTGCATTTTAGAAGCTTTATTTAATTGTAAATCTATTGAATCTTGTTTTCCAGCTTCAATAGCAACAATGTTCTGATACTCTTCAACTGCTTTGAGGTGATAATTACACTTTTCGTGAATATTAAATTTTTCTATTGCTTTATACCAAATTTTAAAAGGCTTAAGACTAAAATTACCCAAAACCTGAGAACCTCCTTCCGTTTTATTAAATATAACACAATACTTGCAATACGCGCCGTCTTCTTTATGTGAATACGCCAACCAAATCCATTTCTCCAACCAACTAAATTGAAACTTCAATTTTTTTTTGTTTTTAAATTCTGTTGTTGGGAAAATAAATGTTTTTTCTGGGGTCCATGTGTTTTGAAAAAAATCTATTTTTTCTTTATTTGATAACTTTTTACCAACACATAATTCAATATCAAATAAACTAACCTGCAGATTATCGTGCTGACAATGTACATTTTCTATTTGTTGGCTTAAATCATCTTCCGGACAAAATTTCGCATTATTTGTATTTAATTCCTGCCGCGGTACTTTTTTGGCAAAAAAGTCAGTTATACTTTTATTAACACGTTTACTCATTTTACGAAACAGTATATTATATTGTAAGATTAGAAATACAAAACCTAATCACGTTTATATAATATCTTATATCGCACATGCACACAAATACGTAGATAACTCAAAGAACCGACACTGAGAATAAATATCGGACAACTGATGTTATTAATTTATCAATATTATTAGACTTAATATAAACTAATAATAACTTAGATGGCCACGTGGTCGGTTTTCGTATTACAAATTTACATCAATATCTAATTGCCTATCATAAAAGATAAGAACCTGAATAATGTAAATTATTTCTAAATATAATAAAAATAAAAATAGTTTACATCAAGATTCAAATAATATTCTTATTTTAACCAAGATAAATATTTCTGAATTTATACATAAATTATTATGGACTTTCATAATAATATTTTAAACCATTTGTTCTGATAAATCGTCTGCATTATGAAGACTGCAATATTATGATTTTTATGTTATAAATTTAATATAAATAGATCACTTTTCAATAGTTATTAAATAAAAAATACGGTCCAAGGGGGGTGTCCAGACACCCAAAACACCCCCCCTGGTTGCGCCACTGCCATACATAAATGTACCATTACAAACACTTAACATATTTAAATGATAAACATATTATGATTGAAATTTAGCTGATATCTTTGAGTCTAAACAGTAATTTTTTACTTTTTTTTGCTACTAGTTTCTGTTTTTCATTTTATCGTTTGACACAAACCAATATTTTGAAATATTTTTGATTACGGTTATAACGATATAAATTTTTACTTCTAAGTTATAAGCAAGAGTTCGTGAACACTTGTTTATTTAGGATTTTATCAAGTATGCTGACAATTACCTGTAATGTTTTGATGACGATGTCATTGATATCAGGGGCGTATTTACAAATTCATAGTAAGGGGCTCTAATAACATTTTTCAATTGTCATTACAGATATTTTTTTACTCACTGCTTATTATGAACAAACAAAAAAATAGCTAATAAAAATTTTTATATAAACATTGAACGGTCAAAAAAGATTAAAATATACCTCTCTATATGCGCTATTGATTGGTATCAGTTATATATTTTTTTGTCTTTTTGACTTATTTCACGGTAAAGTTTTTTTAAATATGAATGACTAATCACTAGCGTTATTACATTGTCAAATTTTATAGAGAGCAATAATAGAAAAGAAATATGTACGAGCATGGAATTTATTGACTAATAAAAGATTTATAAGTTTTGGTCAATTGGTTAGCTTTGAGATTCTATCAGTGTTCATAAGGTACGAGGATTCAGAACAATAACGATTTTGAATCTATAAACATGAAATTTCATTAAGTTTATATGAGCTGAAATATGTCTTTAAAAATCAATTTTTATTAAATTTAATTATAATGAAACTAATTGTATATAATTTATTTAGTCTTAAATATTCGTTACCTTTTAATTTTTTGTTGTAACTAAAATATTTAGTGAGTTATAAAATAAATAATTATTTTTTTTTATTTTTAGTGTTCTGGGACTAGATGCAGAAGGACTGTAAATAAGGATAAAAAAATAAAGGTATGTTTTTTACATTCTATTACACATTTTTTATTTCAACGTATAGATTAGTATTAGATTATTTCAATAAGTATTATTCATAAATTATTAGTTGGTACTCTGATTATAAACCAAGACATTGTTTTTGACCCGGAAAAATTTCAAAAAAAAGTCTGATTAAATTTTTTGTAATATAAATAATGAAATAATACATAATAAATTAATTTTAACTTCGATGCGAAGCTGAAAAGGTATTAATTTTACGATGATGTGTTTTTTTTTTTTGTTTCTGTTGTAACTTTTTCTCATCTCTCACTGGACTGATTTTGATAAACAATATGTCAAAAGATCACAAATCGTATGTAGTTAAAGATATCACTCTTAAAAATTAAAAAAAAAATTCTTTCGTTCCCCGTAAATGGGGGAAATTTCTAAAAAAAATGCAATTTTTCAAATCGGTAAATTTCGTCATTTTTTTCACTTTTTTTTTCTTAAAACTACTATAACATTTTTAAAAATTAACAAAACAACTTAATTTTTCTTTTATTGAAACAATAAATATTTCCCTTTCATTTGATGTCATTTTTTTTTAAATCTAACACTTAACCTGCTCACAGGAAGGATTTAAAATAGCAACTTTTTTAACTTTTGAAAATGTTCCGGAAATACTACGTCCTTTAAACATATATCAAATTAAAGTTTACAATAAATACTATAAGTTCAAAAAAAACAAAAAATTGTCCCGACACCTTTTCTTCTATAGGAAAATGTCCGTCGAATTTAACAAAACTTATAATTTTAATGTAAAAAACACTGTTTAACATGAAATATTTTAATACTTAAAATTGTCATAACTTTTTGAAAAATGAACAAATTAAAATTATTTTTTTTTATATTGAAACCTTAGATATTTTTCTTTCATTTCATATAATTTTTTTGAAAATTTGACTCTAAATCTGCCTGCAGGGGAAATCAAAAAAACAATTTTTGCATACGAGTTAAGCTTTTTCAATGTAATTTTTGAATATATTTTTTTAATAGTTTGATTAAATATTGAAATATTTATAAATCATTTTACTTTGTAATTTAATAATTTTTTTACTCTATTTGTGTGTGCTACTACTAGACTATAATATTCCAAATTTTTTAGTAACATATTGCTACATAAATAATTTCTAAAAAAATTATTGTTAGTTTCTTCTGAATTAACAATGGATTTTTACAATTATAATCAAATTATATAATACGCTCAATTGAGTTAATCTTTTTAATAACTTTTTTTTTCATTGGTTTTTTTAGTAAAAGTAAATCATTAAAATTAATTCAGTTCTGCATATTTCAATTGTAGATTCTTTTTGAACACCAAAAGTTAATTAGAAATGATTACTATTACTTCTATTTAAGTTATCTATTACGATAGAAATGCAAAAAAATCGAGCTTTACTAATAAATTTACTGTAAATAGTAATTATTAAATTTATGTGCATATTAATCTTAACAATACCATTTTTTTAAATTTAATTATGCCAATTTGAAACTTGCAAGTTGAGCAAAAAGTTATGGTAGTAAATTAATTTTTTTTTTATTATAAACATTCACTTTTAAAGGGCAAAAAAAGTAGATTAAAAGTAATTACTTTTAACATATTAAAAATCAAAATCAATAATAATTTGAAAACAATTAATTATAAAAATTATATAGTATATAATTAAAAAATTGATTATTATATATATTATATTTTGAATCTAAGAATTACTAATCATGTTATAAATAAGAAAATAGGAGTTAATTTTGCTTTTGTAATTATCCACCAATTTCTTAGAATTAAACACTATCTACAATTTTGCATCGAAACGTTTCTAATGATAGTGATTTTAATCATTGTCAGATTAAATCTATACTGGACCTAACTGTGCCACGTCCCCACTTTGGTTGGTTATTTTTACTTCTCTATTACATATATTAAAAAATCATTGTTTATAGTTCTGTAGGTAAATTTATACAGCACTTTAAATATTTGTAAATTTTGAATATATTCATTTGTTTACAGTATCAAAAATTGAAATATGTATTAAGAAATTGACAAAAGAAACTTTACACTAGATATTAAGTTACATATCTATTATCTATTGTGCGTTTTGCCTGAAAATGATGTATTTTTCTCAATACGTATTTTAATTTTTAATACCTTAAAATAATCACATGAAAATTTAAATTTTCACAAACTATAAAATGCTATAAAATTTACTGTTGCATATTAATAAGATAATTTTTTATTAAATTTTTCTTAATATCTTCTCTATACAATGATAATCTTGAATATTTTTTATATATTTTTTGTAATTATATAAAAATAATATTAATTCTTTAATTTAACTAAAAATTATTATTTATAAATTATTTCTAATAGTATTTTCTTAGTTGTAAGGTATAATAATAATTTAAAATACCTTATCTTCTCATTTTAAAAATATTAGAGTGTACAAGATATAAGAGTGTACTTGAGGTTTTTGGTTAACATGCACACATGGATAACATAAATTTCGAGGGTTTTCTGAAAATAAAGACAAGGATGGTTTGTGTTAAACCTCATTGGGTGAGGAAGAGGAAAGACATGGTCTACACGAGATCTATAAATATTGCTGAACGCTATTGCTGAGAAGATACGTGTAAAACTGCTTGCACGCGGTAATTCGCATTTCTCTCACCCTTCCTTCACCCTGTACTAGTTGAAAAACTTTGTCAGACAGTTACGGCAGCGACCGTAGAGCTAACTGTAAGGGAAAGAGGTAAAGAGGGGTGGTTTTTCCGAGGGTAGTACAACTAGTGGGGAGACCTACTCTTATCGATTCTATAGTGCACGTGGTGTGGTATGTATATATGCTGGTATACGTTTTTGAACTCATGCCTGTACGAGAAGCTTATATTATATATAGGTTCAGTATTGTAGTAAACGTTATAGGCAGGTGGGAAATAAGAGAGGTAAGTATACCTACACTGTTTTTAAACTACTTTTTCTTGTCGCAGCGTTTTAACATAAAATACTTTTCGTTAGAAAATGGATACAGGATGTTTCAATAGACGAATAATAAAAAAAAAAATATTACAAAAAACTCATTACGTTTATCAATAAGCAGATTTTACATTTGTATTACAAATAAACAAAAATAATGATTTCTCTTTTAATGTCTAACTATTCATGAAAAAGTAACATCATCACCTAGTGAACCTGCTGCATTATGATTATGATTTTCATTAATTCTTCTATGAAGTCTGAAAAATACCTTTGATATGAATTCCATTAGTGTTTTAGCATAATATAGAAGTGTATCTTGCTACAGTTTTTGATGAGATAAATTAAAATAGATTTTTACAGTAAAATTACAGGGGATGAGATTTTTGAGATGAACTTACATTTTTTATTCTTCAATTTAAAAGTCAAACTCAAAATTAATTAAGATAGTTTACTCATTTTACGAANATTATCGACCAATTCCTGTGATTACTGTCATAATTTCTTATTAATTTAATAAAAGCTATAAAAAAAATGTATAATATTAAATTTATATGGACTTTAATAATGTATAAAAATTTAAATTTTAACGTGTTAATTTGGGAAGTGTTGGTTATTGTTATAAAGAAAAGGATAGAAGAGATCTTATAACTGTATTAGATAATATTACTATTCTTTTTAACGTTTCAATTATAGGCAATAAATATTGTCATAAAAATTTCAATATCTATAACGAATATTTAGCATAAAAAATATGAGCTTTCTTCTGTCCTTTTCTTTAAAACCTAGATCTACGTTTGATATAATAAAAATAGTTAATTATATATGTAATCATTAAAAAAAAGGAATTGACAACATTATAAAGTATAATAAACGAAACAAATAGTACTTAATAATTGATAAATTGAAAAATTTATGTAACTAAAAAAATATTTGCGATAATATTTTTATTTAGTAAGTAATTAACTGGGTTATATTTGAAATTGAAATTATATTTAAAATATTATTAATTTAAAACTCAAAAATTACTAAAAAAATCGCACATACGTATTTTGGAAACAATGTTATCATTTTCAACGCTAAACATATACTATCAATTACTAATCATTGTAATTGATAAAATAATAATTCTTCAGAATAATTTATTAAAAAAAAAAACAGTACATAATAATATCTTTTATATAATTAAACGTCATTTTAGTAGAATTATGAAATATATGAATCTTTAATAATATTAAAAATGTGCTTAAGCAATATTAACTTTGAATTTATGTGTTATAAAGCAGTTAATATTATTTTATAAATATTTCTTACATCATATAATTTTTAAGATATCGTATAATATTGTTAAATATTTTTGCAAACTTTTAGTGTTCGTGAAAAAGAAAACATTTCTTCCGGTAATACGAAGAATATTTTAGTTTTTGTAAAGACTTCGTTAATACATGTTGTTTCAAGAAAGAGTAACATCTGTATGCTACTATAAATTATTTACTACTTTTATAAGAAGAAATTTCTCATGCCATACTTAAAAAAACAAAATTTTTTTAAACTTATTCTTTATTGCTTAATTAACTTATAATATCTAATATCGGATTTTTTTTCAAGAATTTGTTACGTTAATAAGTATGGAATCCGAAAGTACTGTAAAATCGCTTTTAAAACTTAACCAAATCTAAGTCATATTTTAAGTTCAATTAAGGTATCATAATATTTATGGTTTCTGTAGTTATTTTTTCAATTTATATTAAAAAAAAGTCGATGTAGTGAACCAAGGCATAAAACAATTGGAAAAAACTGAAATAATTTTGGTTTTTAGGCCTAGTATTAGGTTTACTGATTCGTTAGGATTGCTTTGTTTTATTGTAAAACTTTACTAATATCATTAATATAATTTAATTTACTTGATAATACATTACATTATGCAATAAAAAGTAAACTTTATCATTTATCTTATTAATGGCTACCTTTCAATTATTTACTTAAAAATTTGATTAGTTACATAACT